AAACTTATTTTCATTACGAACATCTTTAATGTATCGAAAGTTACCTAAAAATTTTATAAAGCTTTATCGTCACGATGTTTTACTTTGTTTTCTGTTGTTGAATATGGTATAAATGCATAAAAATCCGTAATCTAACAATTATAAATTAAAAGCCTACAGAATATATAGCGTGGATATTTATATGTTTAATTGAAACATAAGTATTTATTACCTAGCTTTTTCACAAAAACGAAAATGCTTCTATAAAATATCCGAAAGAATAAATGGAAGAATTTTTTTTATAATTTATTATTAAATGTTGTTTATATTGCTATGTTATTTTGTATTCCATATTGTATTTCCTAAGTTCATTTAGATATTAATGAAAAATTATTATTTACTATTTTATTTGAAATGAAAAAATACATAATGAATGTAATATATAATACATTACCCAATTTCTTTGTTCAATTAGAGATTTAGAAGCATATTTTTGTATTTTCAATAATAGTAGAAATATTACACAAAGAATAGTGTAATTATCAATTAGAAGGATTTCTATCAAAGAAGTTTAGGACTGTAAAAGCTCAAAATATTGCTAACATAAAAAGTACTAAATCAATCCCTTGAAGTTGAACTAAAAAAAAACTCAATTTTTTAAAACCGTAAATGAATAGTCAGACATTTCCATTGTGAATAGCACAATTACTAATAAACGATTGATTATTGAAAAAGAAACTGAAACGTGAGTAATATCAAATGGATATTAGCACAACGTGATATCAAACGAAGCACACGGTAACAATTGTTACTTTTTTTCAATACCGTTCACATATCACACTTTTTATGTGACTTTCAATTTTATAAACAGAACATTCTATGTCTCTTTACGGAAATGGAATGGCTGAAACAATTCTTCTCCATTTAATTTCGATTTAAAGTTAATTGTATTCAAAATTAATTGTACTCGTTTAAATAAGAATTTAAACGTGTTTTATTCATCCCAAAATTTTAATAGAAATGGTGCTTTAAATTAGGTATATTTAGTGTATGAAAGATTAATTTACATAATGTTTCATTGAATATTTAAAACATACCATCTGATTCGAGAGATAGAACAGATCATTTACTTGTCATGATTGATAAAGCTACGAACGGGTAATTATCGAGGTGGTAAATAATCGTATTTTATGTCACTTATTATTACTCCCATTATCGATACTTAAACGGCATATTCAGAAAGTCAGAACGTGTATACTAGTAATCGATATCTTATCGATAATCATTAGTAATATTTTAAAGCGAATCAACTTCTCCGTGCAGCGAAATAATTGGAACGACCATTTAATTATCGAGATAATAAAATGACTCATCGTTCATTTGTTTGGTGATTATCAAAACCGCGCTCGATAAATGTTTTAACTGTCTTCATTGTATTAAATTGCAGGCAATGATGCACTTGATCGGTTCTGTTTATCAGTCAGAGGGAAATATTATTCGCGGTCAACGGAGTTCCGGCTACATACATTTTATAATAACAAATACACGTTTGCGTTCCGCATGTAATTATCAATTGAAGCGGCCCATTGAAGCGGCACGCAGAAAATTGCGATCACGGTTCATTTTTGGTCACGCGTATCCGACACTTGAAGATAAAAGATAGTTCGATATTTGCATTTCCCAGGACAACGCAAATATATGCCCCGATCAAATTTCGCTAATATAAATAATATCGATTCGCGCAATTGGTTTCATAAAACCTTTAGGACCGCGCGCACAGTAAATTACGTTTATTCAAATCGTGCAACAATTTGTTTGTTCATTAATTTTATTTTCAGTTACACCCTGTGCTTTTTATAAATCCCTTTGCTATCTCCTCGTTTAATTTTATGAAAAACCCTATCGGATCACCCGATATCATTCGACATTTTCTATGGAAAATTCAATTTGTATTTTACAATTGGATATTACTTCGAGAACAGAATCCAAAACACTCGATTTCTGATAGAGTTATACTTTTGCGTTATTATCGAAGAAATTTTGTTACCGTTCATTTTCAGTTAAAACATAAGTTTTTGATATCGTTGCTTGGAGCATTGTACTTTTGAAATTTGTAATAATAGGATAACTGGTAAATTAATGGATTGTAACAAAATTCACTTGTTCCTGTAGAAATTATGTATTTACAGGAAAGTGCTACTTGATTATTACATAAAGTTATATAATTATTTAGCAATATTTAATTTATACAATTTGATAGTTGCATTCAGCGTGTAATAATGTTCAGCTAGTGTTAATATTCGCTATTGCTTTTCTGTTATTGTTGTGACAATAAATAATTAAATGATTTACTAATAATATTTTAACATCACTTATAAACCTCTTGTTTAATATTGTAAATATATGTATCTAGATTTTCTTATTACACATATTTGAATGGTTATTACGACAATATCAAATAGAAAAATGTACAAAGTATTGTAATGTGTTTAATACGTTTTATTTGTGTATCTGTAAAATTAGAAGATACGCAATTTCGAAATGTAATAGCAATTATTCGTATATTATTTCTCAACAAAAGTAATACATATTTTAATAGAAACAAAACAAAATAAATATAACATTAACGAAGCAAATAAATATCATTAATACCTAACAAAAAGAAAATGTATTTATGAAAGACCTCTGTGCAAGATTCAATATATCATTAAAAACAACTGAGAATATAAATATTTGACATTGTCAATGAGATCGAACCGTCTCATCCGAAATTACTCTATGTTGTATACACCTAAATGTTTGATTTCTTAATGAAGTATGAAGTATTCACAATAATGAAGTATTCACAGTATTATACTCCGTTTAGCTAATATTCACGTAAACATTGAATGCAATGAAACTTTTATTTGGATTTAATAAAAAGTGTGAAAATAATTCCAATTCCTTAATTCTTACCATAAAGTATATTAAGTTCTGCTCTTGGGTAGATTGGATGAGTAACACCTACAGGGGTTGAACATCCGGTCACAATTGTGTAATAATAATTTTTCGCCTGGAGGAAAGAGCAACGGTGGGATCGGGAAAATGGTAATAGCAGTTGTGGTCGACGGTTTCCAACGTATTCCCAAAAATATCTGGACGAAGAGGTCTCTCCTTCGGGACACGATAAATGAATCAATTTACAGTTTGATAGACCGACTGACACGTGGCCCTGTTACACGACAGGTGCTTAAAAATACTACGCTGGTGTTACGCCAATTATTATAGGAAACATGCGGAAATCTAATAAACTGTAACAGTCAACACCGCCGTTTCCCATAAACACAGCATCATGTAGATTCTACATTGAAGAAGACAATTTTACGACCAAATACTTTATGTCATCGGTATAAAAATATATAAATGTTTTATACTAACAAGTAACTCAATGGAAACTTAATAATTGTCAATAGAAAGATGCACTGAATTAACAAAAATGTTGAAAAAATTTACTAATAAAAGATTAGAAATAAATAATTGGTATGTGATATATTAAATAAGAAAGATAATTAACTACTGGGGCCTTGATTTCAATGTTATTTTATTTATAACTGAAAACATGTTTCGTCCGTTTTGCTATGAAAAATAGTGCCTTTTAATTATTTGTATTTTGAATCTAATTATCTTAAAGGCTTAACATCACTTTTAATCGTTAATGGTGAACAACCCCAAATGATTGGGTATATGTGAGCGAGTAATTACAATAGTCGGGTTCACGATACGCGTTAAAGGAGTCCGCTTTCGAAAATGAGCACGACACGTTCCTGGAATCCGATTCAATTTCACAGTTTGTCGGTGAAAATAACGATAATCAAGAACGATCGTTAATAATCACTATATTGTGGATTCATGACCCATTGCGGATTATTATACGCGCTTCTCAACGCGTGCGCAACGCGAAAACTTATTCGCGTAAATTTGTGCAACTGATTCTAGATAATTGCAAATGGGTGGGTATACTTTCAGCAAGGGATGCTATGGATGTTCGGAATGGAATTATCGTCCTCTCGTGAATCATGATTGCACGTATCGAAATTTCGCCCGCAGATTTGTTGCATTCGGTTTAGTGAATTTGACGAACCTAATGGACGCATAGAAACATTATTCTTAAAGGCCTTTAGAAATCTAAACAAATACAGACGTGTAGAATGATAAATTTATTTGAAAAAATAAGAATTAAACTGGTCTTCTTTGTTTTATTAACTAATGGTATTCATTAATACTGACGTTAATATTAGCTTCTTTAATAACAGAAACATTTTATTAATTATAATTCGTAGGTATAGTGTGTAGAACTATTTCGATACCATACAGTAAAACGATTTAATTAATATAATATGGATTTAAACAGAACGTTAATTTCAAAATATAAACATAGTTTGCGACGTAGCAAAATTTACACTATTGATTGTAAGAATAACAAGAATATTTACTTACTTGATAATAGTAACATTTATTTACTTATAAAATTATAATATGAAAATGACTCACATGTTAAACAAAGAAGATATATGAAGTGCAGTAAAGTGGAATTGTCATTTAGTTTTAAGCACTCTTTAAAGTGTCATGAATAAAAAATAGATGCTGCTTAAATGGACCTATGTATCCTGTAATAAATAAGAAACTATTTGTACAAATTTATTCTCGTAGAAAATATGTAGTTTCACATTTTTGTAAATCTATATTGTGCTTGGAAAACGCCTACAACCTATTATCTGGCGAGCGATTATTCTCTGGATTAAGATACGGATCGACGGGGGGTTTCAATTTTTTCTAAATGACTGCAAAACACTGAGGTTTGCGTAATTTGTTTGCATGTTCGTTCCAAGCCGTGTTTACCTGGCCGACGAACCTTGATAAACTACATATTATCAGTTACAATCGCAAATATGGTGCATTCTCATGAAGCTTCAAGGTATAATACACCGTAAAAATAGATAAAAAGTGAAAATTTTATCCTGCATGCGATTTCCTTTCCTATAAATACCGAACTTCTACGAGATCGAATCAGAAAACCACGAACTCGATCAAAGCATACACAAGGTAAGCTATAGATTTAAGTAATATCCCTTCAAAAAGATGCTCATTATGAAAAGTAAATTGTTAACGTACATTACTCTTGTTAGAAATTACAAGCGCATCAAGAATGAAGAAATTTTTCGCAGTCCTTTGCATTGCCCTTCTAGTTATTTCCGTTGCATCAGTCTGCAAACCACCAGGCGTAGTTGTAAGTAAATTTACTAATAATTAATAATATGTGTAAAGGTGTTCACATGTTATCGCATATCATAAATAATACGTATCATAAATGTAATAATATCAAGTATCGTAAATGGGCAACTATATCAGAAAAATTAATAATTACCACTGTTTTAAATTTAATATTAAAGTTAAGTTTGTTAACGTATAATTATAACGTATAATTATAACGTATATATTTATAACGTATAATTACAACATTTATTTCATTAAATTTAAATAAAGTTCAAAGAAAATATTTCTTAATTATACAAGTTTCAGAAACATACATGTACATTCATATCGGTTTCTCTATTTTCTGGATAAACATTCTTGAACATATTGCAAATAAAGATCAAAAATTGTAAAGTAATTATTATGCGATCGTAACATAAAAAAATTGCGACTATGGAATAACGTTTTATAAAGCTTGGCATTTAAAAAAAATCAAATTCGT